GAACAGGGCGGAAGTACCATGCCCACAGCTCACGAGGGGCATAGCTATCCCCAGAAGCCAATGAGAGGCATCTGGTAAATTCTGAGGACACCACAGGGTGCACTCTGCAGGCAGGAGTCCGTATTCTCCGGCTCTTCCCTTCCCCTTGGTGGGGGGGGGGGTGTTCCTGGGAGCAGAGGGGCTTGGTCCTGCTGTCGCAGGTGAAAGGAGGGCTTGGGCCACACACTCCCTTGGGCCCTGGCGCAGACAGTCTTGTTCCAGAGCAGCCTGCTCCGCAAGCCCAGCTCGCTGCACATAAATACACATTCCTCGTCTGGGTTATTTTGCCATTTCCTTTCATTCTAAACCTAAGAGGCTATTTTGGAAACTCCTATAAGCAAACGAACCCCTGGCTAGCATTTGAGGGGAGAAAAAAGAGCCTTAAGTGAGGGAGTCAGGCATAAAAGCCACCCAGTCCCGAAAGCCCACAGCGCTAAATTTAGAAGCTTTACCTCTAAATGAGGTGAAATTGCAGGTTCCTCGGGCTAGCAGCAGCGGCCGAGACACAGGGCAGCTGTGGCCAGCAGTGAGCGGGACAGATTTGGGGTGGGAGAGGGCTCTGCTTCCTGCAGTCCTGCAGCCGCACCTTAGGGGTAGAGGCCCAGGACAGGGCCCAGTGGTCGGGAGTAGCTGCCTGTGTGAGGAGCCCCAACAGCCGGCCTGCCAGGCCCGACAGCGCCCATCTGAGTGTGGGCTCCCTGGGTGCCAGGCCAGAGAGAGGCGGCGCGGGACACAGGAGCACAAGAGGCAAGCTGTCTGCCACCAAAGGTTTGGGAACTACAGGGCTGGCAGCCTCCCTTATTCCCCAGGGCCCAGAGGGGTCTCTGGCTCAGCTCTGGTGTGCTGCTGAGCCCTGGCTGCCAGGGCTCCTGATGGCCCTCGCCAGGATCCTGTCCCTTCCCTAGATGTGTCCAAAACCCAGCAGCTAACTGGTCCATGGCAACCACAGCAGGTGAGGTGGGCGTGGGAGGGGAGGGGTCTGCAGGCACCCCAGGCTCAGCGACTCCCTTTTCTGAGGCTGGTGCCCCTGCTTGTCTGTGCTTAAACATTAGGAAGATCAGGGCCATGGATATAGCTCAGCAGCTTAAGCGCCTGTCTGGCAAGCACAAGGTCTCTGATACCAACGAAAAAAATTAGGGAGAACGCTGAGTTCTGAGAGCCCCACTCTGCGCTCCAGCCCATCCCCAACCTGTGTCTTCCACACAGGAAACCCATCTGGGCCAGATTGTCACCTCTGTACACAAGACTCACCTGCCAGGGCCGGCTAGGAGGGGGCGCTGTGAGGTGCTTGCACCCGGATGCCTCTGTTCTGGGAGGCAGGTGCAGCCTAGCATGAGATCCCAGCTCTTTCCTACCTTATGATCCTGGTCAGAAGGGACCCACCCTTCCTCCCTCCCTCCCAGGACTTAGTTTGCTTTATCTGCAAAATGGGGATCTAATGTGTTGGGAGATTCAAGGATACCGTTTAAAGCCCTTAAAGCAGATAGTAGGGTGCTGGCTCCCAAGAGAAGGTGGGTGTCTGCAGCAGGGCTAAGTGTCAGGAGCAAAAAGCTCTGTAATAAAGCTTTATTGGGACCCAGATACACCCACTCCTGTGCTTTTCATTCGTGGCTACTTTTGCTCGAAGAAGGTAGAACTGAGTGCGGTAATTGTGATCCCCCTCCCCCATCCAGCAGGCCAGAGCCCTTCATCACCTGGTCCTTTACAGGAAGCTCTGTCTGCCCTGCCTCAGGGCTAGGGCTTAGTGATGGTAATTACTGTCGCCTTTGGGCTCTGGGTGGGTGCTGGGGCGGGAGGTGGCTTTCCTTCCTGGCCCCAGGTTCCCAGGATAAGCCTGTGCGCTAAACACCCCGGCTCCTATTTGCCGGAAAGAGATCGCACTGGCCAGTCCTCGGTACCTGCAGGGAATCAGGAGGAGCCAGAGAAGACCCCCAAGGCAGGGAGTGGAGGGAGAGGGCCAGCAAAGCCGGGAGGGCAGTGACTTCAAGAGGGGATGACCGCAGGCTTAGTTGTTTTTCTTGTTGCTGAGACAAAATACCTGGTGCCCAAAATTAAGGGAGCAGAGGTTTATTTCCACCCACAGTGTATCGAGGCTGCAGTCAGCAGCTGGATGGCTCCAACTCGGGGTGGCCTAGCAGAGTAGCGGCACAGAGGAGAAGTGGCTTGTGGCAGGTGGAAGCCAGCAAAAGCCAGCGATCACCTCTTTCAGTCCCTATGTCCTATCCAGGCTGTCGGCCCTTAGGGCAGGTAGTGCACACCCTCAAACCTTGCAGTGCATCAGGAAGGCATCCCAGACTCACATGGTAGATCCAACCAGCTCAGAAAAGCCCCACCTATGCCTGCACGAGGCTTTGGGGGGCTTCTAGACACAAGCCCTGACAGCTTGACAGCCAGAAGCCAATCCCACAGGCAACTCAGCTGCTGCTGTTTGAGGTCCAGTCACCTGGCACTGGGCTACACAGCACCTGGCCTCTGCTCTCCACCCTCCTCTACCCTAAGCGGGATGTGAGCAGGCGCACTGCCTGAGTGGCTAGGCCCTGGGGGAGTGGGGGGTGCTAGCTACCGTCCTTCTTATGCCCCTCAAGTGGAAAGACTGGAGATGGTGGGGGCCCCTTCACATCTCCTTGCCCATCCGGGTCTGAGAAGGGGCCTGGCCCACCCTGGTGTGCTGGACCTGAGGGCTGTGGGCTGGCGAGGCTCACCTCCAGCCGGGTACCAGCGCCCATGGGAGCCTCCACCACTGTCCACTGTGGGGCAGACCTTCCCATGGGGCTGATTTTCAGCTTCCAATGAGATATCCTCTAGCTCATAACATTTCTAGAAATTTCAAAGTTGACCCTGGTGGGCCAGCAAGCGCAAGGTTCTGAGTTTAATCCCTGGTACCACAAAAACAAAACAACAACAACGAAACAACAAAGTTGACCCTGGTAAGGGAATATGAGGCTCTAGGGCCTCCTTGGGCAAGGGGTGGGGCTGGAGCCCGGGCATGCAGGAGTCTTAAAGCCAGGTGAGACCACAGGCATCAGCCAGCGCTGAGGTGGTTGTGGGACACACCTTGGCTGTGAACCCAGCTCTGCCGTCTCCCTGCAGGGCTGTGGGCTGACTTTGTGGTACCTCTGTGCCTCAGTTTCCTCAGCTGCCCAGTTAGGGCTCGGTGGCTTCTGTCCCCTAAGGGGTTGTGTGGCTTTAGTAAAAGAAACTGCATTAGGCACTTAGCATGAGGTCGGCTTACTAATGACCACTGGCGGGATGATGCGTCCATTGTGAGCCTGCCTCAATTTCCCCATCTGTTCACAGGCTTCACGGCAACCCCTAACTCCAGGGTGGACACCCAGCAGGAGCCTAGAGCCTGGGGAGACCAAGGTGAAGTTTTTCTGAACCCCCCCACCTCGAGTCTCAGTGAGGTGCTCAGTAAATGGTCCCCCCTTCTTCCACCAGGGTCAGAGGCTGCTCCCCTGCCTTGGCTGCCTACCTGGCTCCCCATGCTCACCCAGTTACCTCCAGGGTGGGGTCTCCATCAGCTAGGTGCGCAGCCAGCTAGCTCTTCCTGGGCGTCCTCAGCACATTGTGTCCTCTGTCCCTCTGTGAAAGAGGTGACTTTCTTTTTTTATATCATTTTTAAAAATATTTATTGTGTGTGTGTGTGTGTGTGTGTGTGTGGCCTGCTCAGCCCACCAGGGGGCGGGGCTGGCTGGCATGTGGTGCTGGGGGATTGAACCGCGGTCCCTATGCTTTGCTTAGCTTAGCTTGTTCTAAGTAGGTGCTTTAGACCACTGAGCCATCTCACCAGCGCCAAGAGGTAACTTTCTGAACTCCCATTTTACTGTTGTGATCACTGAGGCCTGGAGCCCAGCCAGAGGCATGGTGGGACTTGAACTCAGATCTGGCTTCTTTGTTTCTGATGCTTCCCAATGGGCTGTATATGGAGACTTTAGGGCGAAGGACAGAGGAGCCAAAGGCCCTGGGGGCACACGGATGTGCTGGCGGTGCTCCGCGCAAGCTCTGAGCCTTGGCAGTAGCGGATAATGATGCAAGCGGATGCTGCATGGCTAAGGTCATTCCTGGCTGGCTCTGAGGCTGGAGGTGGTGGTGGTGCAGGCTGGCCTGTGAGCAGGAGGCCTGGGTGTGGTAGCACCGTCTGTAGATTGATCTTCGTGATGGGGTCTTTAGAACCTTTCGATGGGCAGCATCCTGGCCAAGGATGATGAAACTGGAGGAGCAGAGATTTAGATTAGATATGAGGAAGAACTTTCCGACTGCCCGGGCTAGAAGCTTCTGGCGAGAAGGGCTATGTTCCCAGGGACTGTGGGGCATTTTTTCCAACCTAGACATGGTTTGGGAAAAAGAAAAGACAGCCAGGGTCCTGGGCTGGCCTCACAGCAGCCCGGGTGACAACAGATCTGGGGTGATGGCAGCCCTTAACATGATGAAGGGTCTGTGAAGTGAGCTGTGTCACTCCCTGTTCAAAACCCACCCATAGCTCCCAGGTATCCTCCCCTGGCTACAAGGCCCCACCCCGCCTGGGGCTCCCGGGCTGCTCAGGGCTGTGTTCTGCTGGCCTCTTGCTCCCCCAACTCCTTTTTGTTTCAGTATCACCCCTTCCTGCACCCCACCCCTACCCTGCCCCGTGGCCCCTGCTGCCTCACCCCACCTTGGCCCCCACATTGCTCGCTTGGCTACAGACCCAGGCCACAACGGTCCTGGTGGGTCTGTATCTGGCACACAGCAGATGCTCAGCAAGGGTCGTGGAGGGGCACGCCCATGACTGCGGTGAGCAGAAGTATCACTCAGGCGGGAAGAGCCTGCCTGTAAAGCATGGCGACCAGGGTTCAAGCGCTGAGCTCCCCAACCTCAGGGAGACTCAGCTTTGCCTCTGTGAGCCTGAGATAGCACCAGCTGCCCATGTAGTCAGCACTCTGGAGATGGCCGTACATGCTGACCATCCTGTCCTCTCCTTGTAGGTGACGGCCATGTCAGTGAGGGTGCGGTTCCTGTCCCCTGGGGACGCAGGAGCTGTGGGGGCTGTGGGCCGCAGCGCCTCCTTCGCGGGCTTCAGCAGTGCACAGAGCCGGAGGATTGCGTAAGTGCCTCCCCCCTCCAGTGTTTGGGGCTAATTGGAGAGATAGGAAGGAGGGGGTCCATGAGTGACAGGCACAGAGACAATCAGACATATTCATGGCTGGAAAAAGCCTATAATTTCCTGGAGATCCAAGTAGATATCATTCCAAATGCTCTGAAGTTGATCTAGCTGAACATATCGGGCCCATGTGGCAAAACAGGCTCAGAGAGGTGAGTCCGCTGGCCCAGGGTCACACAGTGAAACGGTTCCAGAGTTGGGAGTCAGTGTCCTTGGGGCAAGGTTGGGTAGGAATGTGCTTCCTGTTTGGTAGCCTAGGTAATGGGGCCACCTATCTTGGCTCTGTGACCTGGGGCAAGTTCTGAGCCTTGGCTTCCTCATCTGAAAAATGGGAGTCATGCGTGTCTCTCCTGTCATTAAGGTACAATGTGGTGACTCCTGGAAGATGCTGGCTCGTGCTGGTGCTGGAGGGCTCAGTGGGGGAGGAGTGGTCCTCACAGGGATCAGGTGTGATTGTGGCCATGAGCTCATGAGAGGTGCTGGCCGGGTGGGGATCCTGTACAGACCTGGGGAAAGAAGTCCCTGGGAAGGTAGCTGTTTGCTTCTGGAGACTGCAGTCCGTGACCCAATCCTGGCAGTCACAGTCTCAGTTTGGACACCATGCCAGGCACCAGGGAGCTGCCCACCTGCTGGCAGGCCTGGAGAGCAGCTTTCTAGCATCCTGAGGGTCCAAAACCTTCACCCACCTTGATGCGTGGGGGACAGGTGGAGTTCCCAACCACAGGGTACAGAACCTGGCTGGTCCCTGAGTGCTCAACAACTACATCCCCCCATGCCACAGCCCAGCTGGGAAACCCCAGTGCAGGCCCCCACTCAGGATGCAGCCCTTGGAGGCCGAGACCCCACGATCAGCTCCACCAGCTCCTACCTGCTCCTGCATGCCAGGCATGGATCTCCTTTGTGGGTCTTACCTGGAGCACCGGTCCCTCCAGCCCCAAGTTCAGTAGCTGCACGTTGGTCCCCTCTAGGGGACACAGCCCTGTGGTTGCCCTCCACTCACTGGCCTTGCCTGGGCTGCCCCATTCCCAGGCATGCTGTGGGAACAGCAGCACCTCCACTTGGTGGCAATTCTGGGGTCTCATCTGGGAGCACCCTTAGGAGTCCCTCAGTTCTCAGCAGATGTGTGTGGGGACCTTGCTGAGCCAGGCTCTGGGGTTGGTAGCAAACAAGCTGATGATAACCAAGACAGATTCGGCCATGGCAGGGGCTCTGTGGGGTCAGGAGAGGCTGTGGCAAGGGTGGCCAGTCTTCCCACAGGGTGGGGCAGGGACATGGAAGAACGGAAAAAGCAGATCGCAAGAGGTAGGGGTGGGGAGACCTTGTAGATGGACGGGACTATAGGTGCAGAGGTCCTGGGGAAAATGAGCTTTGAGGGGCAGAAAGCAGCAGATCAGAGGAGAGGGACCCATGGGGCTTTGTGACTGCAGAGAATAGAAACATGTCCTCAGTGGAGGGCTTGATTGGAGACTTCAGATGGGAGGAAATTCAGCCAGGGACTCAAAGGGATGAGCACCCAGTGCCCAGGAGAGCAGGCCGTCAGAAGGATATGTTAGGCCCTGTGAGGAAGACACCCAGGCAGTACCCGGAAGTGCTGCTGTGAGAGCTGCAGACACATTGGCTGGGGTCTTCCTGGGACTCCTGAGGTCCCTACCCTCGGTCCACATCAGGGCTGGAAGGCCAGCTGTGTAGACCCCAGTAAGAGCTCGTGCCGTAACGCACTCCACGTTCCTGGCATTCTGGGTGCGAAGAGGCCAGAGGTGTTGGTCTCTGACAGTCAAGCTCAGGGGGGTCCAGGTCAGCCCTGTCCATGTCCCCATCAAGGGAAGATGGTTCTGATGGCTATCCATGTCCTGGACCACCCACCAACAAGGGAGCTGGAGCTGGGTCCAGCTAGTCCAGGTCCCGTGGGGCCTTCGCCTCAGCGGACCCCCTGCCCAGAGTGAGAAAGGAAGTGCCAGGGAAGAAGCACGTCTATTTTTACTCCCCTCTCCACCTCGCTCCCCAGGGCTGGACCCTTGGCGCTTGCCCCAGGCTCTGGCTGGATGGCCTGGCTTGGGTTTCAGACTTACCTTCTGGCCTTATTTCCCAGGTAACCCAAGCAGGCCAAATCAGCCAGGCTGTCCAGGACTCAGCTCTGGGTTGGGTCAGGAACGTGACCTCTGGCAGGAGAGCAGGACTTTTTTTTTTTTTTTTTTTTCAGATACCAAAGGCTGATGTCTCTATTGGTCCCAACTCTCCCCACCCCCACTTTGACACAGACAGCTTTTTAGTCCATAGAGAATTCTCTCTGGGGTGATCTCATGGTAGAATTTTATACTAAGTTGTGAATGATTGCTACGATAAGGCCGTTTCCATTTTCTTAGCACTGGGGCTGGTAGTGGTTGGGATAGACTCTGATGCCACAAATTCTGCACCTCAACTGACAGGCACAGCTGCCTATAACCCCTGCCCTGTCCTGCCCTGATCTATCCCAGGCTGTGGGGAGATTCCTGCTGAGCCAGGGGCCCCTGTGATGCCCTCGCCTCCCTGGCAGTGCCTCTGCTGGGTGTCCTGGCACACCCAGGCACAAAAGCTAAATATGTAGCCTCTGAGCTTGGGGTCCTGATGGCCCCCAGGAAACAGACCTGGCTTGGGAGGAAGCAGCCCCATGTACGGATCTATCCCGCACCTCGACCCCCGAGCCTCTCTGGGTGGCCCCATGAGGGCTCAGCCGCAGCTGGTGCCAAGGCCTGTGACAGTAGTGCGGGCAAAGGGCGAATCTGCAGCCACACGTGAGTGCCGGGGCCACTGGGGCACACGCGGCCATCGGGAGTTGTCTGGCATGCTGGGGGCTGATTAATATTTACTGAGTCCTCCCAGAGCTGGGCTGGTGACACATCCACCCCCGAGGCTGCTCCTGGCCAGCTCTTGTGACATCCGGGTCTGACTCGCAGCCTGATTTCACCATCTGAAGGCTGCGTGCGCATCACTGGCCGGCCGGGCCTGCCGTGGGACACCAGACAGGGCGCCGGGCTCCCAGCTCACAGGTGGATGGGACAAACGCAGGTCTTGGGGTGCTTGCCTGCCCCAGACTGTAGGACCCCGGGAGCCAGCCACTGAGTGGCCCCCGTCACCCCTGGTACCCCTGCTCGCAGCCGCTGGAGTCCACTCTCGTGCGCCTGGAGATGGCAACCTTGTGGAGGGCGCGATCTAAGAGGTGGGTGTTGTGGTCCAGGGGGGCAGGGGATCCTAGGCCTTGGAAGTCATCACTCGTCATGGGCTCTGTTGATGCCGGCAGCAGCGGTGGATAGTGACTGGGTGGTAACAGGGCGTCAGGCTGTCTCTCTGATCCCCAGGCACAGCGAGCCCCACACTCCCTTGCTCCCTGACTGGGAGACCCTCCCCAACCCCCTGTTTAACTTCATTTCCTTCTGTCTCACTTCAGCTTTCCACTTGGCACTTGGTGCCACTTGACGAGACTTGAACACACGTGTGGCCCTTCTTTGTCGGGTGTTGTTTGAAGCCCTTTGTTATTTTATTTATTTATTTTTTTAGGCCAGTAACCTTCATAGCAATCCTTGCTGTGGTTCCCATTTTGCGTATTGGAAAATGGAAGCACAGGGAGGTTGGATAACTTACCTAAGGTCACTCAGCCTGTCTGTGGAAGAGCAGGACCCAGACCTCAGTGTTGGGCTCCAGAGCCAGCGCTCTAGCCCCTTCCCTTGGTCTCCCCAGGGGCCGTGGGCTCCTGGGGGCAGGTAATGCATCAGCTTTGACCACTGCTCTGCCCTCTGGCCCTAGAATGCTGGCTGGGTGTCACAGGTGCTCTCCCGCCGGCTCCATGGGCAGGAGCTCTTCTATTCTTCTTTTACAGACGGGGAAACTGAAGCTAGGGTGCGGTAAGTGTGCAGAACCTGCATCCCTAAACAGCAGGGTCCTGGGTTCCTACTGTGTAGGTTTGTGGCCCAGGTGTGCTGCTGCAGTGGGAACCACAGGCTTGGCTCGAGGGCCATCTGGGTCAGCGGGGGATGCGGGACAGCCCTGAACAGAGTAAACAGTGACGTCATGTCTATGCACAGAATGTGCAGCATCTGGCTGAGCTGGAAATGCAGCCTGCCGGACTTCCCATGAGCCTTCTGGGAATCTGGCAGGGTGCAGCCTGGTGGCTCTTCTCTCACGCTGCCAAGGAGCTGGGGCTGTGGCCTGCTGGCCCTCTAGACTGCAGTCCTCTGCTGGCCCCATGGACATGGGCCCCAAGGGCGGGAAAAAGCACGTTGAGGGCCTGTTGGAGTGAATGCACCCCACGCCCTTGAGTCTGGCAGGCCAGCAGCCCAGGAGGACTTGGGCTCAGCCTCTTCAGTGCGAGGCTGTCTGCCTGCATGTTCTGGGGACTGGGAGGACCGATGCCCCAGGAAACAAGGTTGAAATGCAAACTCTCCGGTCAGGCCTCCACTTGAGGCTGGCTGGATCCATAGTCCAGGTGGAAGTAGAGGTGGGGTCCCCAGTCAGAGCCAAATGAGTCCTAGGTGTTTCTGATGCCTCTGAGAGAATCCTGGTTGAGTCCTTTGGTACCAGCTGAGGAAGTGCATGGGTTTGGTCTTGGATCCCAGTTCTGCCTCCTACGAGCTTCGTGACATTGGCCTGAGGCTCCCTGCTCACTAATCCTCGTGCCAGGCTGGCTGTGTTGGCCTGTTCAGTTAGGCTGGCATTAACTTAGCACCTACTACCTTCTAGGCTGTGAGGGAGGGGACAGGAGTAGCATGCCTGCAATTCTGAGTGTGACAGCTAACCAGGCACAGTGGTGCATACCTGTGATCCCAGTTACTCAAGAGGCCAGGACAGGAAGATTGCAAGCTTGAGCTCAGGCCAGGCAACTGGGGAAGACCCTGTCTTAGATGAAAAGGGCTGGGGGGCCAGCTCAGTGATGCAGCTCACCTGGCACGTGTGAGGCTCTGACATCCATTCCTAGCACTGAAAACCAAACCAACCAGCTGAATCTTAAAAATACAAAAAAATGCATTGGTAACATTCATAAAGCACCTACTAAGTCCTCATTTGTAGCAGTGCTGAACCTGGCATCTCATAGTATTTATAGCACCACCCTTGGGTGTAGGGTCTGCCCTTGCCCCCATTCTACAGATGACAAAACTGGGCCTTGGGTAGTGTCGGGGTGAGGAGCCCCCAAATGCAGATGCCTAAATAAGCATCATCACTCTGCTCTTGGTCTAGCTGTCCAGGGCAAGGGCGTGGCTGAGGCCAGTGGTGCCAACCCCCCACCCATGTCTGTTTCCCCCTAGCCTCTGCTGTGTTCAGCCACATCAGTGGGGGCCTGGGCCGTGCTTGCAGCCAGCTTCCAGTACCTGCAGGGAGGGGCAGCTGGGCCAAAGGCCGGGCTGCTTCCCAGGGAAGTGGCCCCAGTGAGCACTACCAGTCATTTCCAAGCACATCTGTTCATGAGAATGCAGCCCAGCAGCCACTGGGCAGGGCTGGTGGGGACCCACATCTCTGCACATCCTCAGCTTGGCCCCAAGGATCCCGACCAGGATTCTCTGTGCACAGCAGCTGGGAGTTTCCTCAGTGCTGCAGGAAGCAAAGGCTGCACCAGCCAGCCTGGCCCTCAAGCCTCCTGTGGAGCTGTAGTCCCTGAAGATGACGCCATCCTGCTGAGATCAGTCCTAAGATGCTGGTACATCTCTCAAGGGTGGTTACTGCTGGAGGATACTAGATCTCCGTGCCACCAACTCCAGCTGGTCAAAGGGGAAAAGAGAGCCAGCCGGATCATAGATCTGCAAAGTCCCCACACAGGCCTGGCTTCAGGAATAGTGGGATCCAGGCCCTCCTTGTCATCTGGCCATGTATGCGCGGGGTCTGGCTCCATGTGCTTCTTCCTGAGTATTCCCTACATAGTGGCAAGAGGAGTATGTTCCCCAAGTTAGCATCACCAGCAGAAAGAATCCCTTCCCTTCCTGTGACTTCTGAACCAAATTTCTGGCCAGTTCTTGGACAGGTTCTGACCCGTGGCTTGCCCTGGGCCAGCGTCATAGAATGTATTGGCTGAGCCATCCCTGGGAAGTGGGTTTGACCTGGGACACCTGTGTACGCAGGTGCAGCTGGAAAAGGGGTGCAAGTGTGGTCCGGGGGCAGGTGCCTTCTCACCTGAGAACATGAGAGGCTGAGGTGGGGGGCTGCCCCGAGGGATGGCATGGCGTTGTTAACAGAGGGCAGAGCTGTGGCAGAGCAGTGGCCACTCCGACCCAGACACAGGCTGCGACTTGGCCGGCCCAACCATACCAATCCCGCGGCTCCCTGACTGCGTCCTCAATGTGGGTTCATTCCAGGTCCCAAGTTTTTGTGATTAATCCTTTAATCCTCAAGTGCAGACCCCTCATTTTGCAGATGAGGAAACTGAGGTGCAGAGAGGTTCTCAGGAACGTTTGAGGTGACAGGGTGGGGAGCCAATGGGGTCTCTTAGGACTCCCCAGGTGGTCAGGCCGCCCTCTGACCTCCCTTCTCGTCCCTTCTCACAGGAAGCTGACCAATAAGAACTCAATGAGGTCCCGGTCACCTGGGAAATACTCCAAGAGCTACGGCACGCTGCGCAAGGTGTCGGCTGGCCTGGAGCCCAAGCCCCAGCAGGTGAAGAAGATCTTCGAAGCCCTGAAGCATGGCCTCAAGTAAGCGTGTGTGTGGGAGGGTCCTCCTTGGCACCCCCCATCTTCTCAGGGAGCACAGGTCTGTCTGAGAGAGATGCTTGGGGCTTCAGGCCTCTCAGGCCCTAGTGCGGCCTTAGGAGTCCCAGCTCTGTCAGCAAGGGAGAGAAGAACAATCGGGCAGATGCCAATCAGGGAGTTCAGTCACAAATATTTATTTATGGAGGTGCAGGTTACAGGAGGGAACAGAATAGACAAAACTCCTGTCCTTGTGGGGCTGACTCCAGTGTGGACAGACCATAAACAATGTGGAGAGGTCAGTGTAGGCATGCGGGATGGTACACGTGACACAGGAACAGAAATCTGGGCAGGAACGTACTGGATGGTTTACAGCAAGGCCTGGCTGCACGTGGGTGACCTGTGGGGGAAGAGGAGGAAGTGAGCCATGCACGTAACGGAAGTGCAGGTAACGGAAGTGAGCCCATGCTGGCAAAGGGGGAATATTCCAGGCTGCAGGAGGCAGGGAGCAAAGGCCCTGGGGCAAGAGCTGAGGCAGAGGGTGGCGGCTGCAGAGTGAGGCTTGGTGACCCAGGGAGTGGGGCCGTGGTGAGGCCTTTGGGGTTCAGCCTGCACGGCACGGGAGCCACGGAGGATGCTATGTGGAGGCAGGATGTAATGTGACTTTGGCTGTCACAAGAACTCCAGAGAGAAGCAAAGTTGGTTAAGTGTGTAAACAGTTTAGGACAAATAGTTTTCAAAAGTGTAAATTTTTTTTCTTTTTTAGTTCTGGGGATTGAGCCAGAGCCCTGTACATGCAGGAGCTCTACCACTGAGCTATGTTCTTAGACTTTTATTTTTATGTTGAGATAAGAATTTGCTTAATTGCCCAGTCTGGGCTTGAACTTGCAGTTCCCTGCCTTGGCCTCCCAAGTAGCTGGGATGCCACCATACTTGGTTTATGCTCTTAATTAAAAAGATGTGTAATGTGAAGCAAGAAAGTTAAAATAGAGAGGAGGGGATTTTTTCCCCCTTTAAGATAGGGGCTCACTGCATACTGGTAGTTAGAGCTCACTATGTAGTCCAAGATGACCTAGAATGTGCAGCAACTCTCTTGCCTCAACCTCCTAAGTGCTGAGATTATAGACATGTGCCACCTGTACCCTGTCTTCCTGGCCAAGTGGGCTCACCTTCAGGGCAGCCAGGTGGGCCCCAAGTTCTGGAGGTAGAAGGGCGGTGGCCTGGTCTTGGAGCCAACTGGCAGGGGACCAGCCAAGAAGGCAGCATTGGCCTGCTGGGAGATGGGGTGGCGGCAGGGCCGGGTCCTCCTCACCCCAGAGGGTCTGTCCCCGACACCTCCTTCCCCTCCCGACAGGGAGAGAATCAGAACTCCTACTCAAGCAGGCACGTGGTGTCATGTTCGGCTTATGGCCCAACACAACAACATCTAGTGACTCCTGCTGTCCCTAGCCGCCTCATGTTGAATGTCCCCAGCCTGTCACATTTCCTGTCTCTTTGCAGGCTGGCTTTCTGTGGTGTCCACCTCACTGTTAGGTCTTGAATGATCTGAGCCAGGACAGGGACTTGGCACATGTCACTCCTCAGAGATGCCCGCAGCGCAGTGTCCTTGGCAGAAGCCAGCACCGAGGCCACAGCCCCTTCCTGCTGCCCCTCTCTGTCCATCTCTTCCATGCTCTGCCAGCCAGGGGCAGAGCTTGTAGGTCCTTCCTGACGCCAGGTTTCCCAGACTCTCCTTCAATGGTCCTCTTCCCATTCCCATGTGGCTCAGCAGTGGCCATGAAGCGTGCCACCCTCCTGTGTGCGCCTGTGCCCTGGCTCCTGCTGAGCAGCCCCCTGGGTGGTGCAGGGTCCTGCCTGCCCACCCCAGTTGCTCTAGCCCAGTGTGTGGCATTTTTTGGACAGATGCTGCTGCTCTTTCCAGGACACTGGTTCCTGTCCTGTGCCCTAAATGACCCTGCTCTGCATCTCCCACTTGTTAGTCACAACACTAACAACAGTGACAGCAGCTGTGGCTGCTGCGGTTCTGAATGGCTGTGCCTTTACTTCTGCCCACCAGGGCCCTGGCTTTCTGCAGCAGTGTGTCCCTCACCCACCTTCCTGGGCCACGCCACTGCACCAGCGGGAGTCTGGCTGTGTGTGGAGGGGGAACCCTCCCCTGAGGGGCTCCTTGCCCTGGACAGCGTCTGGCTCCCCCAAGGACCACCTGCTGGAGACCTGGCTGTGCCATGGTCACCCTCGTAGGCTCAGGGAGTCTGATCCCCAAGTGAGCAGTGACCGGCAGAAGCTGGCCCATACACATTTGCAGAGGGTGTGTGACCTTGCTGGGGCGGCCCAACATATCGTCACCAGAGCAGATGGACCCCCCCAGTCCTGTGTCCACACCCTGGGTGTCCCCCCACAGCTTTCTCTGTTTTGCAGTATGATTTCCAGTCCCTTGGGGGTCCTCAGCCCACATGTCTAGGTGGAAGGATCATAGCCTGGGAATGGGTACCGCACAGTGACGTCAGGGACCTGGAGGACACTGCATGGTGTCTGTCCTGTGTTCAGCCTCCCCGCTGCTGTGTGGCCCTGTTTGGGTTACTCGCTGCCTCCGGGAGTCAGTTTGCACCTTAAAATGTGCATCTCAACCACGGGGCAGGGAACGCCCGAGAGCCCCACCCAGGTCCAGGGATACAGTCAGTGGGCCGCTTCCTTCTCCTTTCTTTGTTCATTTCCACTGAAAAGTCTCCCTCGGTCACTGCTGCAGGGAGTATCTGTGTCTGCAACAGACCGAGCTGGACTTCCTGTCAGGACGCCACGCGGACATGCGGAGGAATTCCAGGCTGGTGAGAACCCACCCTGCCCCAAGCTTTCAGACTCAGAGGCTCAGGGAGGGACCCGGAATTTAAGGTGAATGAATGTCACATTGGCCCTGCTTGGCAGAATAGGGGAGGTGGGCGCCAGAGTGCATGGTAGAGGGGCTGCCTTGGTTCTACAAGAGCCTGAGGCAGGTGGATAAATGGAGACGCAGGTGTTTGAGATTTTAGACAGTCCTATTTATTTTTATTTTCTTGAGACAGAGTCTTGCTATATAGCCCAGACTGGCCTCAAACTCACAGCGATCATCCTGCCTCAGCCTCCTGAGCGCTGTGAGTATGGAGGTGTACCTCCATACCTAGGCTTAGATGGTCCTACTTTATAGACCTTTGCAGTCAGGCACCCTGAGGTCAGGGAGGCTTATGTCACCCAGGAAGGGGAGCTGTTTCTCCGGGGTGTCACAGTGGCCCTGAACCCTGTCCTTGGAGCCTGCACATTTTCTCCCGTACTCGGTGCACACCCGCTTTTCTCCATCAGAGGTGGGTCTCCACACCAGCCCTGCAGCCTTGCACAAGGCCCACCCGCTCTGGGCTTTGCTACCTCCTCACCAGAGCCAGGCTTAGCAACACAACAAAATCAAACAAACGCAACAGAAATTAGTGCCCAGATAATTTGCTTTTGAGACAAACAACGAGATTTTTTTAGTATAGCCCATGTGGCCTTTGGGAAATACTGTTTTGATGCTACAAAATTACTCACTGTTTCTGAGAATTGCTCATTCCAGCTGGGTATTCTGGGTATCCTGCTGACACTGCCAGGGTTCCCTAAGTAGGGACTTGTACCCTCCAGCAGGAGGACCCCTCTTTCCAGGCTGTGCAGTCCCTCCTAGTGCCCCCACTGCCAACTCACACAAACCCCACCTGTCCCTTGGAGGTCAGAGGTGGAAACACAGAACTCTGGCCCACTGCTGTGGGACCCCCTCCTCCCAGGCCAAGGGGCACTGTGGCCCCCAGTGTGCCTGGGGCTGGACACCGGGGAGGGGCAGGGCCTCTTTCTGTCTCTGCCCTGGCTAGGAGGGAGCAGGCCCACAGTCAGCAGGGCCGGTGGCACCAGGCTAGAGCCGCATGTCTACCAGCTACATGGGCAGGGGAAGCCCAGCCCGCTCTGTGCTCCTCGCTCTTGGCGGGTGCTGGGCAGTGGCCAGTGCAGAGAGTGCAAGGAGTACTGCTAGGACAACCTGCAGGTCCTTGTGCCCCTCTTCCCACACTGCAAGCCACCCCCTTTCTCTGGGGCCTAATAGTAAGTGCATAAATGAGCCAGAGGGCCGGCCAGATAGCTCAGCAGACTAAAGCACCTGCTTAGGCAGGTGCAAGGACTGGGGTTTGATCCCCTGCATGCTATGTCGGGCTCCACCCCCAGGGCATGATGGAGATTGAGACTGGGTGTGGTGGTGCGCACCTGTCATCCCAGTGCTTGGGAGGCTGAAAACAGGAGGATCACTATGAGTCCGATCTGTGTAGTGAGACCCTGTAGATCCTGTACTAAATACATTAAAATAATAAAAATAAAAATAAATAAATGAGCCTGAGCTTTAGCTGCTCCGGTAGCACACTGAGGCCAGGGAAGGGTAACTGTCCGGGGGCTGCCCTGTGGAAAGGCTGACCTGGTGTCCTGCTGCCTGGCAGCAGCTGTGTGAATTTCTCCACCACAGTGGTCTCTGAGAAGCTCCAGCAGATGCTCCCAATGTGCATTTTCCACACATGATGTTCTTCAGGGAGGTTGGGTAACTTGCCTACAGCACACAGCATGAATATAGCAGTGCGCAGCCTAGAACTGCCTCCCTCAAAGCATGTATGCTTAATTGTTCTTTCCACCTCACAAGACAGTGTGGCTGGCTGCAGCCCCGCACTGTGTTCTCTGAGCGCAGGATCCCTGTATGTAGTCTCTGTGGCCTGAAAGGAGCTTGGGGCTCTGACCTTTGCCTCCCCCTTTTGTCCCCCACAGGCCTTCTATTATGACCTGGATAAGGTGAGCAAAACTTCCGCATCCATACACAGCAAGGTGGGCAGTGGTTGGGCCCAGGCAGGCATCCCCTCCTCCCTGCTGCTCTGAGGGAGAATATGTGAGTTTCCTTTCACTGTACCAATGGGGAAACGGAGGCTCAGGGAGCCTCCCACAGGCTGGGGAGGGGCTGCCCTGGCACTGAGCCCCGTCCTCTCGCTTGGGACCTGCCTGATGAAGAGCGATGGGGGCTGGCCGAGTCCCGGGCCCTCTAAAGCATCTTTTCTCTTCCTGGGAGAAGCAAATGCGCTGGATGGAGAGGCACATCCGGAAGACGGAGTTCCACATCAGTAAGGTGCGGTCCTGAAGAGTCATGGGGTGCGTGGGTTGGCCTCAGAGAGGGGGCTGGCAGGAGCTGGGAAGGCCTTGGGGCAGGCAGGCAAGGAGAGGAGAAGAGGCCGAGGGACAGTGGGGCCACGGGGGGTGGGGGGGTGGGCTGGGCGGCTGCAGTGGTTGCTGCTCTCGGGCTGCAGGGGCCCAGCCCACAGCGGACGTGAGGGGACAGCACCCCAGGACTGTGGTGCAAAAAGACCTCTGCTTAACCTTTGAGGCAGGGAAGACCGGGTCTAAGCACTCACTGCATGGATGAGAAAGCAGAGCCCGAGGACAGGGCTTGGCCCGCGGTCAGGCAGGAAGACCTTCAGGGTCTCCAGTCTTTCCCAGCCTCGGCTTACTCCCCTGAGCTCCAGGGCCAGGCACTATCACAACCTACCTCTCCTTTAGACAGCCAACAGTCAAGCAGAGAGGATGCTTGAGCATCTATGATGAAGAGCGATGGTTTTTATTATGCACCAAGTATATGCAGTGGGGCAGACAACGGTTGAGAGGAGCGGGGTGTGGCCCCTGGCTGGGGGCTTGCCTCTTTGGGGACAGCAGGGCAGGCCCCGGGCAGGGCTCAGCAGGGAGCTGTGTGCAGATAGTGTGGGCCCTGTTCTTTTGCCTGCCACAGGTGGACGAGCTGTATGAGGGCTACTGCATCCAGTGTCGCCTGCGTGACGGGGCCTCCAACATGCAGCGCGCCTTCTCCCAGTGCCCGCCCAGCCGCGCCTCCCGCGAGAGCCTGCAGGAGCTGGGCCGCAGCCTACATGAGTGTTCTGAGGTGGGCACCTCCCTGGGCCTCTCTGGCTGTGGGGAGCACGTGGGCAATGGCTGAGCCGCCTGTGGGGCTTTGCAGGACATGTGGCTCATTGAGGGGGCACTGGAGGTCCACCTGGGTGAATTCCACGTCAGGATGAAAGGTATGTTGCCAGCTTGGGGTGTCATGTCCTCTTGGGGGTTCTGCTCAGGAGGGGTGTGGGCCAGAATCCCAGGGACCCAGCCCTACCTGTGTCTGCTCTCATGTGACACGTGACCTCTCACAACTCCTGAGCCTCAGCTGAGAAGGCCCAGCACCCCAGTTCCGTCGTCTAGCTTAGCTTCCATGCGAGGATACCAGTGCCGCTTGGGCTTCCCCCCATGGGAGGGATGAGGTGGAAGTGAGCCCCTTTCTGTGTTCCAGGCTTGGTGGGCTATGCGCGCCTCTGTCCAGGGGACCAGTATGAGGTACGGTCATGGTCCGGATCAGCTCTTGGGGTCTCAGCTTAGCTGTCTGGGAGGGAGGCCCCAGGAAGACAGCAGTGGGAACCCACCCAGGGCAGCCACTGCACCCCTTGCTGGGCCTCGCCTGCAGGTGCTGCTGCGCCTGGGACGCCAGCGCTGGAGGCTGAAAGGCCGCATTGAGACTGACGACAGCCAGATCTGGGACGCAGAGGAGAAGGCCTTCGTGCCCACCTTGCATGAGAACCTGGAGATCAAGGTGGGGGCTGGGCTGGCCTGGGCGGGGCCCCCAGTGCTCAGCTCAGACACCAGCCTCCAGCCCCCACCCCCAGGTGACCGAGCTGCGGGGCTTGAGCTCACTGGCTGTGGGCACCGTGACGTGTGACATCGCCGACTTCTTCACGACACGGCCGCAGGTCATCGTGGTGGACATCACAGAGCTGGGCACCATCAAGCTGCAGCTGGAGGTGCTGTGGAAGTGAGTGGGCGGCCTCAAGCCCCTGCGCCTCAAGCTCTCTGCATCCCCACTGGCTGACTGCACCCTGGGGCTGCCAGTACCTGCAGCCTCCTTGGGGAGACCCCCCCACACACACACCTTAAGGCCCTGAGAGAGAAATCTGGGGTGAATCTGGCCCATCCTCCTTTGGGTGACACAGGCCCTTGCCTCCAGTGGTGGGGTGGTTGGGTGGTCCTTGGGGTACAAAGGATTTGGGTAAAGGACTTTGCAGAGTTCCTTGCACTGGGGTTTTCTGCAGAACAAAGACAATCCCTCCAGCAGCAAAGCCTCCTGGGTCCCCTTTAGCCCCAGGGCCCCCCAGGTGGCTGTGCATGACGCCTGACCTCCTCCTCTCCTCTAGCCCCTTTGACTCCGAGAGCCCTCTGGTGTCACCCAGCCCCACAGGCAAGCTTTCCGTGGGTAGCAGGAAGGGCTCCTTGTACAACTGGACACCCCCGAGCACCCCCAGCTTCCGGGAGAGATACTACCTGGTAAGCAAGCCATGCCCTTGTTAGGGACCTTGTGGTCACCCTGGGGAGACAGGAAGTGGGAGCTGGGTGTGTCCAGCTCCAATGGGGTTTTCTGTGTGGCTGCCACCCCTCCTCCCTGGGGCCGGTGCAATTGGTCCTTCCAGGCATTGGCAAGGGGCTCTCTGGAGGCTTCAACCAGCCCACAGTAGCTTGGCCTCTGCTTTCTGTTCAAACATTCTCACTGTGTGACCCAGCATAGAACATGGGGTGCAGTGAGGACTAGGGGGTGACAGGAGGCCCTGGAGCAGGGCAGGTGAACACAGGCAAATGACTGATGCTGATGACACATTGCACTCCATGCAGGCACTTTATTTATCGCTAACACCTTCTGTGCCGGGCTCAGCTCTTGGGCAGGTGAGCGCCGTGTTCTCTGGGAGCTGAAATTCTCTGGTGGAAATGAACAGTGTTGAGATCAGGGACCCGCACAGCCCAAGTGGTAAAGGGACCAAGGGAAAAACAGCAGATGGAAAGGGAGTTTCTGGAGAAGGTGGGAGTTGCCATTTGCAATAGGCCATCCAGGAGAAGGCCCCCAGAACAGGCGACATCTGTGTGAGAGGTGAGGACCCAGGCCAGGAAGACGTGTGTGAACTGGTGTTCAGGCAGAGTGCAGTCAGTGCAAAGGTCCCCAGGCAGGAGTGCGTGAGGCTGCCCAGAGGGTATGGGAAATGGAGGCTGCCGAGGCTGGAGAGGGGTGAGGTAGAGGGGTCCTGGGGGGTGAGGGCACAGAGGTGGCAGGATCTTACTGGCACCTCTGAGATGCCAGTCTCCTTGACAGACCTGTCATCCTGCTTGTGGGTTGGGGGGGCGAGTCCCTTGGGGGTCTGGCCCTGGTCCCTGGGATGGCTGATGAGACTGTTCCTTGTCCCCTCTCCAGTCTGTCCTGCAGCAGCCAGCACAGCAGCACTTGCTGCTAGGTGGGCCGAGGGCCAACTCCATCATCAGTTACCTGTCTGACAATGACCTTCAGGGCCCTGGCCTGAGGAGCCGGAGTCAGGAGCCACTGGAGATGGACTCCTTCAGCTCCGAGGACCCCCGAGACACTGAGACCAGCACCTCGGCATCCACCTTGGATGTGGGCTTCCTGCCCTTGGCCATCGGCCCCCCTGCCTCCTCTGAGGAAGAGGTGCTGGAGGACCACCCACCCCTGGGCCTGCTGCCAACCACAGCCCCACAGCCAGAAGGCTCCTTTGTGGAGCAGCCCGGTTGGAAGAACTTGGGCACAGAGAGTCCCAGACAACCTTGGGGCTCCCCCTTCCACAGTGGCGCAGTTCTGAGCAGGCAGAGGGGCCTGGGGGAAGGAGAAACGAGGGACAGAGCAGATACAACAGCGGCAGCACCCGAGCAGCCTCTGCAGGAGGTCCTGGAGTTACTGAGGTCTACGGGCCCCACTCAGCCCCAGCTCCGGGAGCTGGAATACCAGGTCCTTGGCTTCCGGGACCGCCTGAAGGTATGCGTCCCCACTGCGCAGCAACCCTGCCCTGCTGAGGGTGTGAGCACCAGTAGGGCACGCTGGGGCCGGCCGGGCTGTGTGCGTGTCCTGGCGTCAGCCCTGCGTGAGCCGCATGGGCAGTTTCCCTCTGGGCCTCTGTTTCCTCATCTGTCCAGGGAGGATAGAAACAGCCTCCCTGTGCCGGAAGGAGGATGCTGAGGGGAAACCAGGGCTCGCGAGGAGGGGGGGGGGGGCGACTTGCTCTTTGTCCAGCCAGGCCCGGGCCCCTCCTCGAATCTTCTGACCAGGTTTGTGGGTTGGAGCTTGGTGTTAACCTAAACTCAGGGGCCCAAGCTGGCCCTGTGGAAGGCCCCAAGGCCACATCCTTGCCTCATTCAGACCCCACTCGGAACTTCTCGACGACAGCACGTGCCAGGCCCACCACAGCCCATGAGGGGGCGTAGGTGGCCCTCAGAGGTGCTGATCCAGCCAGATCATTCTGCTTTTTTTGTTTACATAGTTTAAATGTACATAAAATAAAATGTATATCACCAGCATCTACTTACATATCAATTAATTTATAAAAGCACTCTGTGAGTGAGGTACATACTGTCACTAAACTAGTGAACAAGTCTGTCTTCCAAAGTTAGTTTTAACTGTCTTATTCCCCCTGCTACCTTCGACATTAGGAATCAGCACAAGTGAAAGCTTTATTTTTCATTTTACCTCCAGTAACACTGAAAGAATGTTCAGTGCTTGTCATTCTTTTAAAAAGGCTTGCCTGGAGCCGGGCGTGGTGGCACAGTACTCAGGAGGCTGAGGCAGGAGGATCGGTGTGAGTTTGAGACCAGCCTGAGCTACAAAGTGAGCTCAAGGCCAGCCTGAGTTGCACAGCAAGACCCTGTCTTAAAAAGGCAACAAATAAATAAAAATGGCCTGCCTGAACATTTTAAGGAAAAAACTCTGAGCAATATGTCATCCTTTTTGTACTTTTTCAGTCTTTCTTTCTTTCTTTCTTTCTTTCTTTCTTTCTTTCTTTCTTTTTTTTTTTTTTTGCAGAACCAGGGATTGAACTCAGATCCTTGCGTTCACCAGTCAAGCGCTTATCCTACTGAGCCATCTCCCCAGCCCCTTTTCAGTCTTTCTATGTGCAATACTTTGAGTCAGACATATACAATTTCTATTACATATTTGAAAAATTAGTCTCACTTTTCATAATCTTAATATCAAAATAATACAATAACTTAAGCCATCTTTTAGGAATTTTTCTGGTTTTTTGGTAAACCAAGCAAGAGCATTACAAATGAGGTTAGGTCCTGGCTTTGGAATCAAAGCCACACATACGCACTGAGGTGTGTCTAAACGCCTCTGTGCACCTGTGGACTAGCCCTAGCTGTGCACACACGTCCTTGTTTTTCACGGGTCTGTTTTCTCAGGTTTACCTCTTTAAGATTCACTTGCGGGTCAGGGAGATAGCTCAGAGGCTCAAGCACAAGGTCCTGAGCTCAAGCCCCAGTACTGAAAAAAAAAAAAGTAACTCCTAAAACAGTGATCAGGCCCTGCCGAGGTCATTTTTAGGAACTGCAAAGTGACAGAAAAACCAAAGTCTTCCAGGGTATGTGCTCCCAGCTGAGGTGGGAGCCTTTCCTGTAAGCAAGTGTCCCATTCACAGACTAGTCAGTGCCACAGTTTTGAAAGCTCGTGTGTATTTGGTCAGGGGCTTCACAGTGTGAGCGGCCCCCAGTGCAGAGCCGTGTGCTGGCTGGAGCTCCCCGGCCCAAGTCCAGCGAGCCTCCTTCAGGCAGGGGTTCCAGGGCTGCTCGCTGGAGGTTCAAAGTTAATACAGCAGCAGTGTCTAGAAAGTTGTCTGTCTTGTTTTTCCAGTGCTGACTTGGAGGTTGAATCCAGAGTTGCTCCGTTTAAAAAAGTTTTCTTTAAACATTTAGAAAAAGGGTCACACTGAGTAGTCCAGACTAGCCTCAAGCTTGCATTCCTCCTGCCTCAGCTCCCAAGTGGCTGTGATTACAGGCATTTGCTATTGCACCTGCTTCATAAGGTGTCTTAGTGTGTTCCTGTCCTCTGGAACCGCTGGTGGCATATGTGTGACTGTCCCGTCAGGTGCCTTGTGCCCCTGGCGGTAGAAGTAGCCGTCATTCATGGGACAGTCACAAACATGTCAATGTATGAAACAGAAGCACATGAAACTTTATGTTCGTTTGTTGGAGAAAATGCCCAGCAGAATTCACAAAAAGCTAACCCAGTATTTTTCCTAGGAGAATAATCCAGTGTTTTCTAACTCTGCTTCTCTCTCTGACTTCATAGGCTAACAACGAACAATCCATATGCAGGCGCACACATTTTTGTTCAGCCTGGAAATGAAATCGCTGTAATCATTCTTATTGGTCTCTTGTTGCTTAAGTTTTTTCCTTTGGCCTCAGCTCTTAGGACGCTGGTGCTGGCTAGCATCCTCTGCCTGGGCTGTGTGTCTGGCGTAGTTTGTAAAGGATGAGGCCAGGCATGCTGAGTCCAGGGAATGTGGCCAGGAAGAGACTGTCCTGGTGCCTTGGCCAGTGGCAGGATGGTGGCCCCAGCACATCCCTCCTCCTTCCGTGCTTCTCCTGGGAGGGAAGAATAGTGCACCCCAGGGGCTCAGCTGCCACTTCCCAGCTTCCTGGTGGGTGGGTGTGGCTTGACCTTTAATTCATAATGGTTTAAAATTCAAAGTTGATTTGTAAAACTATGGTTTCCCATAAAACCTCAGGTGTCTGCACTTGGAACACCGAACTATTGGCAGCCTGGCTCCTATGTCCCCAAGTCCTCATGTGGCAGGTGGCAGCTGGCTCCTATAAGCGAGACGGCTGGTCTCTTACCTGGTTTCCTCCATTGTCCCATCCCACGAGTGTCAGGACCCACGCGAGGCTTTTTAGATGTGTCCCTGGAGATTCTGCCTATCAAAGGCCCCTTGGGTGGGACCCCAGGAGGTGCACGTGTGGCTGGAACAGGGACCTCTGCTGGCGCCGAGCTGCAGAACTGGGGACTGGTAGTGCTGAGGTGGGGCGCGGCTGGGCCCACAGGGAGCCCCTAGCCCGGGTTCTGTGGGGGTGGCCCGGGCTGCCCTCAGCGTGGCCGCTTGTCCACAGCCCCGCGGCGCCCGGCCCCACCACGCCTCCTCCGAGAGCCTCATGGAGTGCATCCTGGAGAGCTTTGCCTTCCTCAACGCTGACCTCGCTGCTGACCAGCTGTCCCTGTTCGGGGGCTCCCAGGGCCCCCGGTGAGCACACCCAGCGCCCTCTGCAGGCTTCCTTGGCACCACCTTCCATCAGCCTCCCAGCCCCTCCCCTATCCTCCACCCCTCCCCCGCCCTGTCCTGGCGCGTAGCTGGCCTCGTAGCTACCAAGGGAATGGCAAGGACCTGCTTCCTGCTCCAGGGAATACGATGGAGCTTTAAAATGATCTCTAAAAACAACAGAGTACACAACAGAAACTGCTAGACCCCGACTTCTCCCACACACCCCAGGGACCACTGTCTGTCTCACCTCACTGTCTGTCTCCCCTGTGATACCACCGCCCCATCACACTGGCCCCGAGGGTCTCTGCTGCCCCTACATCCAGCAGCATACATACCTTCCACCACCCTTGCCCCTGGGGGCTGCCAAGCTGTCCCTTTTCTGAACAGCTGACACTGCTGGGCCTGGGGTTGAGTCCCTGCCCAGCATTTCCCTGACCCCGTGCACCCTGAGCTTGGGCTTCCGGTCCTACTGTACAGATGAAAAAACTGAGACTCAGGGGCAGACATGCCCAGAGTCTCAGAGTCCAGGTTGGTCCCACCCAGCCCGGTCCTTGGGCTCTGGCCCCAGGACCTGCCTGTGTTGCTACCCTCTTGGGCTCCCTTCTTTCTTCTTGGTTTTCTCCTCTTTTACTCCCTCTCCAAGACCTGGGTTGGCCTCCCTGAGGCTGAGCTCTCCAGGGAGGGAAGGTTTCTTTTACCCTCACAGCTGCTAACTGGAATGGTCTTTTCTCCACCCAACTCAGAAAAGATAGGACGACACCCCCACCGCCCTCACTGAGAGTGTCACCCAGGGAGCTTACAGCTGGAGCCCCGGAGCTGGACATGCTACTCACGGTCCACCTGCAAGTCTGCAAGGCCCTGCTGCAGGTGGCGAGGGCTCGGCCGGGGCTGGAGTCCTCTTAGGCTGGGACGTACAAGAGCATGAGCAGGGCGGGGGCAGGGGCAGGGGACTTGCACCCGGAAAGCCAATGACACATCCCCATGAGGTTGCAGACCAGGACCTGAGTAACCACGTGGTTCTTATTTAAGCCCTGAAGCGATGGCTGTGGCACTGTCATTCACAGATGCCAGAACCCAGTCGGAACTGGCTCAGCCAGAGGGACAATGCACTGGCTTGTGTATTGAAAGCCACAGAAGCGGGCTCCAGGCCCAGTTATAGCCAGAGGTTCAAATGCCAGCATGACTGGGTCCCTCCCTTGATCTGCTGTGCTCGAAGGAAATCTGGTCCCTCTGGTGGCAAAGGTGGTCCCAGCAGTTCACTGCCTCTTTAGCTCAGTTTGGTGGAAGGGTTCTCAGGGTGTGAGGGAGCTACTGCTGGGATAGAAGGTTCAGGCTCAGGAGCCGGGGTCCCAGCCCAAGGACTGGCTTCATAGGCCATTTTCGCACTAACCTGGAACACTGTGTCTGCTTCCAGAAACTGGCCTCGCCTAATTTGTCCAGGATGGTGGAGGACTGCCTTGTAGAAGAGGCTACACAGCAGAAGCAGGTTCTGGAGATGCTTTCTGACCTTGATTTCGAGAAGGCCAGCCAGGCAGCGTCCATCGAAGAGAGTAAGTAGCTGCCAGCTACCCACTTGCGCTCAGTGAACGGCACAGGGCAGGGGGCCCAGCATCCAGGGAGCAGCCCCTTCCCGCACGCTCAGAGTAGCTGGCAGCTCTGGGTGGGCTGGGGTGGGTCAGAGACCTTGAGGGGGACTTGGCAGTCTCATGATGACTCCAGGCATTCACCTCTCTCTGAGCCTCAGCATCCTCTCTTCATCCTGGGAGGCCACTACCTAGGGCTCAGTGTGTGCCAGGCCATGTTCAGGGTACACAGCTGGTCCTCAAACAGCACCCCTGACCAGTTCTGTCTCTGACCCCCATGGAATCCCTTCAAAGGCCTCTTTCCTTGTCCATGAGGGTCTGATAACAGCTGCCCCCAGGGCCTCTTGGGGCCTACAGACTATGACCTGGGTAAGGCGCTCAGAGCCCAAGCTCCTCGCTGTACTACATGGATTTATCGGGCAGGGCCCCTCTGCCCTCCCAACCAGGCTGATTTCTGAGCCCAGGCTCTCAGTCCTTCCGCAGGTCTCGCGCAGGAAGGGCTGTCTGAAGCTGTGGCGGGCATGCACTGAGCCTGGCAGCGTCCTGGCCTGCCCTGCCCTGAGGCTCCTGAGCCAGCTCAAGAAAATGTTCCTGCACAGAGTCCGTGGGAAATACCCAGGGCAGCTGGAAATAGGTAGCTCCCCCTCCTCCTGTCCTGTCCAAGAAGGGCTGTGTGGCCCCGGGGTCGCAGTGTCCCAGCGGGCCTCAGCTTCTCCTCATGATGCCTCCCTCTGGCCAGTGTGCCGCAGGCTACTGGAGCAGGTGGTCACCTGTGGTGGGCTGCTCCCTGTGGCTGGGATCCCTGAGGAACAGACGGTCACCTGGTTCCAGTTTCACCGCTACCTGCAGAGGCAGAGCGTCTCAGACCTGGAGAGGCACTTCGCGCAGCTCACCAAGGAAGGTGGGCCAGCTGGTGGCTGTGTGCTCACAGCTCAGGGACGGCTCAGGAGCATCCTCTGGCCCCACTCCTGCAAGCCAGGCAGTCTGAGCTTCTTCTGTGTCTTCCTCTCCAGCTGTTGTCTTGAGAACTGATTGAGTAAAATTCCATATTCAGCTGATACAGGAGAATGAATTCCAAGGAGAACTGGCTTTAAAAGGCACAGGGGGAAAAAATTAGGACAAGTACAAAAAAGCATAACTGCAATTCCAGGTACTCAGGAGGCTGAGGCAGGATGATTGTGGATTATGAGTTCAAGGCCAGCCTGGATGACTTAGTGAGACCTTGTCCCCCGAATCCCCTGAAAGAGGCATAGCCAGAGTTGGGTAGGAACATGCTGTATGGCTGACCAGAGTCTCTAGAAGTTTGGGCTGCAGCCTTATAGATTTTCAGATGTATCTGATCCCTTGCTAGGAAAGCCTCCCTGATTCCAGGGGTTCCCTCTGACACCTGTCAGGACGACCCTGTGACCTCCCTTGCCCGCCCTGGTAGCTTCTCTGCAGATTGAGGCAGCTGTACTGCCCAAGCCTGGGCTGGGGCGCAGGGCCACTTTTGCCCTCTCTTCCAGTCACGCTCATTGAGGAGCTGCACTGCACTGGGCAGGCCAAGGCCATCAGGAAGCTGCAGGGGAAGCGGCTGGGCCAGCTCCAGCCCCTGCCACACACCCTGCGTGCCTGGGCGCTGCTGCAGCTGGATGGGCCCCCCAAGGTGTGCAGGGTGGCCAGCTCGCGCCTGGCCACCGCGGCGAGGAACCGAAGCTTCCGGGAAAAGGTACAGCATCCAGGGCAGGGGCAGGCCCTGCCCCAAGTGAGAGTGTCGAGCGTCAGTGTGCTGCAGGGACAGAGTGGGTGGCTGTGGCTGCAACCGCTAAGGTAGATTTGGGGTTAGGGATCTGACAGCCCCTGAGGAGAGTGGGGAAGGGGAGTGGAGCCATACTGTGTGCCTTAGCTCAGGTCTGGACTGCAGAGAAAATCAGCATCTTTGCTGACTCACCTTGGGGTGATGTTTAAATACTTGGATGCTTTTGAACACACACACACACACACACACACACACACACACACACGCTCTCTCTCTCCCTCTCCCTCTCTGTCTCCCACTCTCTCCCTCTCTCACCTAAGACAGAATGATATAAGGAATCACATGTACCAGCTGCCTAAGTCTAACCTTCATCTGTCCATCATCCATCCATCCATCCATCCATCCATCCATCCATCCACCCACCCATCCATCCATCTACCCACCCACCCATCCAGGCACCCATCCACCCACCCACCCACACATACACCCACCCATCCACCCATCCATCCACCCACCCATCCACCCATTCAGGCACCCATCCACCCACCCACCCATCCATCCATCCATCCACCCATCCACCCATCCACCCACCCACTCACCCACTCACCCACCCATCAATCCATCCATCCACCCATCCATCCATCCATCCACCCACTCACCCATCCATCCACCCATCCATCCCCACCCCATGATATTTTGAAGCAGTCTTAGATATCCTATTCAACTTACAGTCAATTATGCATATGAGTCAAAAGATGAAAGATCATTTAAAAATCCTTAGCTACAATATTATGATCACACCTAAAAAAATTGAGTATTAACTCGTTAGTATATCTAACGGTCACATTTCCAACTCCCCAATATCATGGTGATCTTTTCTTTTTGCTAAACAGGATTGCAGAGGCGCACCTAGTGATTGGCTGATGTCTTTTTTTTTTTTTTTTTTTTTTGTGGAACCGGGGATTGAACTCAGACCCTTGTGCTTGTCAGGCAAGCACTTATTCTACTGAGCCATCTCCCTGGCCCTGGCTGATGTCTTTTAAATTTCACTTGAGTGGAAGGTTCTAGCTTTCTTCCCCTTGCGACCCGTCAGTTGAAGAGACTGCATTGCCCTCTGCAGTCTTGACTCTGCTGAGTGCCTGCTAGAGCAGAACATGTTTCTCTGTTTTCTGAGGCTCCTGAAAGTGAGCGAGTTAGCAGCTGGCTTTATAGGCTCCGCTGTGTGGTTTATTTCGTGCACGTCTCGTTTGGTAACAAAGGCCTCGCCACGGAAGCCCCAGGTGCCGCGAGTTGGGAGGCTGCATTTCCTCAGCAATAGATACACCAGGCAGACATGTGGCATCCCCATGCCACTGTCCCAAGGGCTCTGTCCAGTGCCCTGCCCTGGGATCCTGGAGCCTTACTCCAGCCTCTTCTCCCAAGCAGCCTCCTATTTTTGGCGCTGGGGATGGGACCCAGCCTTGTGCATGTTAAGCACACGCTCTCCCACTGAGCTACACCTCAACCCCACAAGTTTTTAGTCACCTGCAGCCGGAAGGGCAGGGGGGTTCCTCAGTTCCATTGCACCTGGCCCTCTGCCCTCACTGTTGCAGTGGACAGTGTGGCCGCTCCTAGGTTCCTGGACACTGGGCTCCCTCAGGCAGGCACACCTCTCCCTGCTCCTAACCGATCCCCTGAGAAGCAGCACAACAGGCTCAGGCTTCACTGTTAGCTGTGTATTTAGGTCCAAGCAAGTGCTGTGACGTGGCTGTGGATGGATGATGAAAGTGGGGTCGGAGTCAGGACCAGGAAAGGGGGGCGAGGGCAGGAACCTCCTGGCTTCTGACCAGTGCTCTGGCCTCACCCACCCTGAGCCCACGAGGAAAACTTTCCTGCACATTCAGTTCTCCTCTTGTTGGGCGCCGCCTGTGTGACTTCTCTGATGGAGCTTTTTATAGGACAGCAATTCGAGAAAGCCTTTCTGAAACATTGTTAGACGAAAAGAGCTTTCTCATTTTATTTCCATCACCCTGAATCAGTTCTGGGGCTGAATGCAACCCTGCGGCACACATCTTTTGTGGGTGCCACCCCCGCCTGCCGACTGCAGCCCAGTCCCTAGTCTTGTTTAGGGTTGAGAAGAGTGTCCTTTCTACTGGCTCTGCTTTCCCCACCTGGTGCCTTTACCCCGGCCCTTCCCTCCCAGGCCCTGCTGTTCTACACGGACGCCCTGACGGATGGCGACCCCAGGCTCCAGCGGGCTGCGTGCATGGCACTGCAGCAGCTCCAGGTGAGCACAGTGAGTCCTCACGGCTGCTGACGGGTGCCTGCTCGTGGTCCTTGCTGAAGTAACTATGAACTTGGAATGATTTCCCTGGGACCCAAAGAAGGGAAGAGGATGGCTAACAAGGGGAGGAGCAGCAGGTGCCCCCCTGTAACAGACTCTGACTGCAGAGGCCCCCTAACACTCCCTGAGCATCTGTTCAACTCTGGGGAGCCACACAGGTGGCCCCAGGGACTCACTTCTAAGATCTTGGGTTCCACACTTTACAATTCCCAACATACTCCAAGGACATCAGACTCATTGGGAAAGAGAAAAGAATGCAAAATATAGAAATGCCCTTAGCAGAAACAACGTTGGCATGCTGGCATATTTCTCTTTTATGGGAGTATGTGAGCATTTTAAATTACCGATCATATGAAACATAGTTTTAAGTCAGGTGTGGTGGAGCATACTTGTCACCCCAGCATTCTAGGAAGCTGAGGCGGGAGAATCCCAAGTTAAAGCTTAAGGAGAGAAAAATACTGACTTAGCAAGACCTTGTCTCGAAAGATGGAGGTAGGCTAGCTCAACATGAGCTTTCAATCACACACACACACACACACACACACACACACACACACACACAGTTTAGCAAGTGAACAAAATAAGACATTTTTGTGTTAGACTGAAAGCACTTTAGAATTCTTCACAAAGAGTCTTATCAAACCCTAAATTAACCTACTTACCCACTCAAAAAATATAGGGTTTTTATCCATTCTAAAAATCATAATGTCACTATGTGCATTTTTATGCACAGTTTCCAAAAACTGTCCTGGGTTCTGGATTTCTGCCCTGGGTGGGACCCGCCTCTTGTCTGTCCACAGCCAGAACACATGAGCCACTTCGGGACTCCTTGGGGCTCCCACCAGCACGCCCGGAGACAACTCGTCCCCTGCTACCTCACCTACAGTTGGCATTTGCATTTTAAGACACCATCCCTCACTCACTGAGAGGCAGCTCAATAGACAGCGCTGCCTCACCCATGCTCCCTGGAGGACAGCCCAAGGGGGGCACCTGGTTAGGGTCACACCCAGCAGGAGGCCGGGGCCCAGCACAGGGCCCTTCAGTCCTGGGTGAGTAGGGGAGTGGGGAGGTGTAGGCAGGGCAAGCCAGGAGGAAGTAGCAAGTCCTGCAGGAAGCCGGTCACATTTCAAAGCGGGCCTTTTAGAGGGTGTCCAATAAGATGGCCTTGCTAGAAGGTGTCAGGGCTGCAGACATATTGCCAGAGGTGCTTCTGTGGGCCGAGGCCACAGAGGGCCAGTCTCGCAGGACTGACAGAAGTGGGCTCTGCCTGTTTCTATCCCTCACTTCCCTCCCTTTCTTCTGTGGTACTGGGGATGAGGCCCAGGGTCTGGTATGTGGTAGGCAAGCGCTGTAGCCCTGAGTCACACTGCAGACCCCCTATCTGTTCCCTAAAATGTCCCCTACTGGAGCTGTATTTTCCTAACCTCACACAGGGCATCGAAAGCATTGACCAGATCGCCAGCCTGTGCCAGTCTGACCTGGAGGCCGTGAGAGCAGCTGCCCGGGAAGCCACTCTGTCCTTTGGTAAAGTAGAGCATTGCTGTCTCACACAGCGCAGTGGGGTCCCTGGCGTTCTTAGTGGAGGCCACCTGCAGCCCTCAGACCTCAGACGGCAGTCACAGGCCCCGTGCACAGCTGCCTTCTGCACTCAGCAGCACCCATGTGGCGCAGTTTGCTCACACAGCAGCGTGGCAAGTGCTTCCTTCTAGGCCTTCAGTGTGGGCCTCACACCCAGAGGCAAGGGCCACAGCAGGGCCAGAACTTGGCTGACTTTGTCCCAGACAGACTCTGTCACTGGTGTGGACGAGGCTCAGTCCACGAGTTGCCAGGTAGTAGCTCCCCTGAGGTTCCTCTGCAGCCTTTTACAGAGACCCCCAAATACCCATGCTAAGTACTAAGGTCCCCTTGGCCTGGCAGGACAGGACACTGAGGTGGGAGACAATCCCCTGACAGAGTGGCCTCTTTTCTATTTCAGGAGAAAAAGGACGCCTAGCCTTTGAGAAGATGGACAAACTTCATGCAGAGCAAAGAGAAGGCTTCTGCCAGGAGGCAGATGTTGAAATCACAATATTCTGAAAAGCCTCAGCGAGCGAGCCCAAGTCCAGCGTGCACATTTCCTTGCTGCTGCCCAGCCCTGGCGCCACACTGGGCCTTGGGTGGGGTGTGCTGGGCACTCCCCAAGTGTGAGCAGGCCAGAGCCAAGAGCGCACTCCAAGGCACTGGGCACACGTGGTGCCACTGGGGAGCAGGGGACATTCAGCACCTGGCAGGCCGAAGCCCTGCACTGAGCGTTCCACCTTCACCTTTGGGAATGCATCGGCCCCCCCTCGGGATGCAGAGCTGGCACCCCAGACAGCCAGCCAGCCAGCCACGCACACAGGGCTGCGGCCATGGTGTGCGTGCTTTTGTGCGCTGGCCGCTCTGCTCCTGGTCCCATAAATCCTGGCGCCAGGGAGGTGGGTTGCTGGCCCAGCTGGCGGGCTGTGCTGATGGAAGACCAAGGTGCAGGAGTCAGGAGCCTCAATAGCGGCTCTGTCACCCCGTCGAGCTGCAGCAAGTGGGAGGCTCAAAGCTAGGACTTCTCCAAGCCACCCCCCAACCGGAGCGGCAGCCCAAACGCCAGTGCGGCTGGACAACAGCTGGCCAGCCGCGAGCCTCATCTTACCGCGCTTGAGAGCACAAAGATGACAAGATCCTGGCCCAGGAGCCTGGCGTGTCAGGGCCAAGGCCATTGGCTCTGACCGTACACATCAAAATGGAATCCAGCTTTGGAAACCAGTCAACGGATGGCCAATTAAATAAACCACTCCAGTAGCCAGGGCTGGCTTGAAGCAAGATTCCACAGAGGAGCATGTTGCTTTAGAGGAAATTTGTTTCCTATTTAAGTGTAATTTTTTTTTTTTTTTTTTTTTAAAAGTTGTGTGTCCTGAGATGCCTCTGTGTTAGAAATATAGAGCTAAAGAGGGATTTGAACTTTGCTGTCAACAATGGCACCAGAAAGCCTTGTAACTTAAACATATTCACTTAAGCTTCCTGTATATATTTTGTGCTTTTGTTGTTAACTTAGTATTTATTTGCCTTGTTCATACGTTCCAACTTCTGAAATTTCAATTAAAAAGCTATTTTAATGGACGTTTCACTTCACCTGAAAAAGGAGATCGTGGTGGTTTCCCCAGCCACCCTGCCAGGGGAGTCAGCTGTGTCCTGGTGCTGTCCCTGACAGGCTTCAGGGGCTCCAGGGCTGCTCTCTCCTGGACAACCGCCCTGCGGCATGGCCTTCTTGCCCCTGCACCTCGGTCCCCGGGTCATGAGTTCCATCTTTATTCCCACACACGCACCCTGCCCGTTCTCAATGGCCTGCTGCAGTTTCTACGCCTGAACCCTTAAGTGGGACAGTGGACCGACACCTGTGACCTGGGGCCCCGGCTCCCACGGCATTCTGAAGTCACAGCACCTCAGCCCCGTGGACCCTGTGGGGGTCACAGCCTGGAACCTTGGAGGATGAAAGGGAATCCTTGGCACCATTTCCGCCACGTTGTACAGTCTGTCGTTACTTCAGAATAGGAAGTCACAACATCCCTTTGGGATAAGATTTGTTTAGTTTTGTCCACAGAAGATCATACTAATTTTTTATATCCTATTTCTATTTCTAAGTCAATCCTCCAGCAGGCGTGACTTCACCACCATCCTGAGGTGTGGGACCACTGTGTGTGATAGGCAATTGGCTAAAGGCTGGCGGTGAGGTCAGTATGGATCTTTCAGCCACTCGTGAAGTCCTGATACGGCGGGCAAGTGTCCTGTGCAGTGGAATCGTGGGAGGGTGACGGGCAGAGGCTGAGGGGTGGGCTTGCCAGTGCTCCTGGCGCTCAGCATCCCAGAACACACCGCCGCACCAACGCCATATGCTTCACATCAACAGAGCGGAAAGAAACAGCTGCCCACGCTGGTTCAGGTCCATGAAGTGGAGAAACGGGAAGTGAGCCAAAGTCATGTTCTTTAGAAAAAAAAGTTTTTATTGTTGCAACTAAAATGGAAACCCATTATTGATATGGCAAGTTGGAAAACTGTACAGTGTGACAGTTCTGTGAGGTCACAGAAGACCCTGAGACGCGCCCCCCACCCACCTGGTCATGCAGCCACATATACACACCTGAAAAGGTATTATACTGAACACCTCACATTTTTTTGTTTTTATTTTTGTAAAAATGGTTTATTCCATGGCCACCGTAAAAAACAACGGCTGGATGAGTAAATATTGGCTTAAGGCATACAGCAGAGCAGCTCACCACCTCTCTAACATATGCGTAACAGGATGGAGAGCCACCTGTCTCCCAGGACAGGGGCTAACCCAGGACCGCCACTGGAAAGGCTACTGTATATACACACCCCAACGACTACGTACAGATACAGGACTTTAAGGGAACGGGCCCAACGCAGAGATGCTCGCCGCCCGGCGCCCAGCTTCTCTGCACCTTGCCAGGGCTCCGCCTCGAGTGTCCTCACACAGAATTGCTCTGTGCTGGCTTCTCCTACATGAAAGGCAAAATGTGAAAATGCTGGCAAGAGAGCAGCTCGGGGCCACAGCTGCCTTTTTGTTTCTTGTTAAAAAAGCCACCGAAGGTGGAGGTCTTAAGTTCCTCTCAAGGAAGAGTCGTGAGCACCATCAGCCCCGCGGGGCTCAAGGGCAGGCAGACACCTCTGGGCAAGGCGGCCCGGGCTGGAGACAGTGCAGGCTGACTAAGGACCATCCCCAGGGGCGCCGGGCTGCTTGCCTCCACACCACGCCCTGCTGGGTGCAGGGGAGCAGGGACCCAGAGAAAAGCCAGTCCCAAGCGTCCAGGGCGTGCGATGTGAGTGGGGCTGGCCACGCCTCGGAATGTCTCGGTTACAGTGGACCCAGCGGGGCCAGGGCAGGCGGGCCTCGCCAGGAAGTGACCAGAGTGTCATGCCAGGAATTAGGCCATTATCTGCTACTGGAAATCATCGCTGCTCTCTGGCTGAATGGTAAGGACTTCAGCACCGGCCTTAGGAGCCGCAGCCGTGTATGGCAGGTCATGCGGAGGCGGGCCGGACTCGGTCATGGGCACATTAGTAAAGCAGGAATCGGAGTTTCTCGTTTCAAGCACATGGTATTTCATGGGGACACAGGAGACCTTACATGCATTCTAATACACACAGGGAATCGGTGATTGAGAACAAGGTTCTAGCAGATAATGGGGGAGGAGAAGACCTGGGACAAAGTCATCTCACATCGTGTATCTTATTAAATACCCAAGTGTTCATTATATATTAGAGCAGTGTTCTATCTTCTCACAGGACCCACAACATCATTGCGTAACAACTGCTCACGGCCGTCCTCCTTCCCAGCACTGGGCTGACGCAGCAGGCTCACGGCAGTCTTGCATTCCCAGTGCTACCTGAGGATTTATTATTGTACTTTTTGATAAAGCCCCTGATGTGGGCTGAAATCAAAAAATTTTAATACCTTATTGGTTTAAGAAAATGCTAGTGCAGTATGTATGCCTTTGGGGAACAAATTAAGAATAAATAAAGAGTGGAGAGGCTTATTCCACATAGACAACACAGAGACCTCCAGGGAGAAGGCTGTTATGCGGCTGCCTGGGGCATCCTAGGACCTGCTGGAAGGGAGGGGACAGCCCGAGCCTGGAGCCTGGAGCCTGGTGAGGGCCACCGCTGTGGTACTACCAGCATGGTCCTCTTTTGCTCTTTCCAGAAATGGATTTGGGACTCACGGAAGGAGGAGGGGAAGCAAAAGGAGAAGCAGGATACGTGGCCCTGGGAGGCGGGCTGAGCGTGGGGGCGCAGCTTGGTGCTGTCTGCTGCTCGTCCAGCGGCGCCCACCGACCGAGGCAGGCCTGCCAGCTGGGAGCAGAGGCGGGCAGTGGGTGGAGGAGGGCGAGGTCATGAGCTGCTGCTGAGCAGAACTGGAAGGAAACCGAGCATTTCAGGTGGGCCCTGACGCACATGGTAGAGCTGACTCATGCACGACCCTGGCCACGCCGCCCCCACGGGAGCCAGCAGCCCAGGGGCCCTGGGTGTTTTCCGATATCCTCGTCCCCTAAAAATCACTCCAAAGGAAAAAATATTTGCATTCTGCTAAATTATCTGACACACTCCAAGATGGCCACCTGGAAGGAGGTAAATATTTCAAAGGATGAAAAAAAAGTCCTGCCAGGCAATTTCCAAGGTTTCTAAGGCTACCCTGCCCCTCCTCTCCCTGTAAGAGCAGCACCTTTCTAAGGTGTGGACTTTTACTGAAATGGCACTTATTCTGGAAACCGCAGGGTAAAATGCCAGCAGCCAGCCTGGGGGTGAACCTGACCCTGAGCAGGGGCCTGCAGGAGTGGGTGATGAGGGCTGGTGCAGGGGCACGTTGGCTGTCACCAGGAGGGTCAGTGGAGAAAGGAGCAGGGCGCCCTGAGCGAAGCAGGCCTGTTTTCTAGAGATGCCTTGGCGCTCTCTTCTCAGAACGGGAAAGCTCGCAGGCACTGTCCAGACTCGGGGTGTGCGCGGCAGACAGCGTGCCTGAGCCACAGCAGCGTCCCAACCCTCTTTTCCAAGGAAGTTTACATTCGTAAAAGTTTGGGGTTCTTTCCTTGGGAAATCAAATGTAAGCTGTGTATCTCATCGCACCACCTAGTAAGGGTGCACGACATCTTGTAAGTGCCTAGTCATCTTTCTCCAGAAATAACAAAAAGCTGCTTTTTATAAAGGTTAAAAACAACAATGTGTTGTAATTCTATTTTTCAAAAACAAATGAACAACAACAACAAAAAAGCGATAGAGAAAGAGGAAATGGGGGAGAAAAAAGGGGGCAGAAAGCAGAGAAGAAGGGAGGGAAGGAGGAAGGAGGGAGAGAGGGAAAGAGGGAGAGAGAGACAGACAGACAGAGACAGAGAGACAGAGAGAGACAGAGAGAGAAACAGAGAGAGAGAGAGAGAGAGAGAGAGAGAGAGAGAGAGAGAGACGCGTATTTGGCATTTTCTCTACTTACTCCTGAATAGGTTAAGGCCCTGAGATTAGACTCTTATATTCTTGGGACCACAGGGCTCCTTAAAACCCCAGTGCAGCAATCCTTACTTCTCTCATTAGCCCTTCCACAGTTCCAGACTTTAAACACCTTGATCCGTTCTTTCTGAGACTGGCTCAGATGCTCCTCAAAACAGCATCCTCGCCCGGCACGGCCAGCGCTTCCTGCGCTCGTGCGCCTCACTGTCCCTGTCAGTGGAAATAGACCTTGTAGCAGAGGTACGCTCCGGCCGTGAGTGCTGTGGCCACGCACACGTGCACCAGGAAGGGCTTCCAGGGAGGGGGCGCGCATTCCTGCTCCTCCTCCTTGGGCGGTGACGGCTCCCCCTTGGCAGGGCAGGCAGCTTGGGTGCTGCACAGACCTCCACCAGCCACCCGACTTCTAACTTCAGTGTCTCGGCTCCTGCTGAGGAGGGAGGGGAGAGATGGGTTATTTCTTTCCCTCAGGGACACAGAGGTTAGCCTGGGCACTATTATCTGGGAGCAGTTCTACGTAGGAAGGCGATGGTGACACTGGCCAGTGCCACCCAGCCAGAGGACCAGGCCAGAACAGACAATGACAATGGCCTGAGGCGCTCTTGTTACCCCAGGCCAGGGTGAGGTGCAGGGGCACCTGGGTAATCGGCCACCGTGCAGGTCAGCTCGGCTGGAGGCCCCTGGTGTGTGGTGAGTATCACTTCCTGGCCCCCGTTATCATGAGCTGAGCGCACACTGGCCAGTGGGTGCACCCAATCCCATCTACCACGGCAGCGTACCCCAGCAGGACACCGCATCCCTCATCCTGAGATACTCCAGCTGCAACTGTCTAATTTTTACCACTGCCAAGGCTGCTGGGGCGAGCACAACCACCTCCCTGTCCCTGTGTACTCGTCTGAGAATCGCTGCAGGCTCCACCTGGAACACGAACCATTCCCGAGTCAAAGCACACACTCTAGAACTGCCCTCCAGAGGGAGGCACCCAGGGGGCCCTGGCAGTCCTTCAAGCTTCTGGGCAGTGCCTCTTCTACAGGAAGTCTTCTCTGACCACCTCAGCACCCATCAAATGCCCCAAGTCTGCTGCACTCCTACAGGATGGTCTAGGACAGGGCGGAGGGCATGTTCCAACTTTATCTAAGTACTCTGTATGCATCAAGAGGTGTTCAGTGAGGTTTGTGTGGATGTAACAACGCAGAATACAATGATATAATCACAATGCACAGAAGGCTCAATTCCCCAAAGACTCTCCTGGGGACTGAAGCTAAGTGTTCAGCTGGACATCGCCTGTCCCAGCTGGCCAGAAGCCCAGGACCCGCCTATCACCACTCAGTTATGCAGAGCTCAATTCCTATGAGCACCACAAGGTGGAGCTAGAGCGCCACAGAAGCGGATGGCCTCCTGGGCTGCATGGACTGGGCAGGACAGCTCCTCTATCCTCCAGAGGGGCAGCTCTCCAAGGTGGCTGTGTGCCCAATGTGGATGTGTGCTTGCAGAGGGGAGGCACGTATTTCTGGAGCAGGTCACTCCCCTTCCCCAACAGGCCAGCCCCTCTCACATTACCTGCCCATGCTGCAGGGTACACTTAAGGGGGTTCTGGTTTCTTCCTCAATGGGGCCATCTTTATCCTCTTCACTCTCATCCTTTACCCATTGGTGGTTTGAGAAGAACTCCTTGCATCTGCCATTGTGTGGCTCCAGGATTCTTTTGGGTGGCCGAGGCGGAGGGGGCACGTGCTCAGGTGGGGGCTCCAGGTCCTCGTGGGAGAGCTCCTTCCACTGGTCCTTAAGGAGCAGAGGAGGAGCCGTCAGTGCGCACTCCTGGCCCTGCCCTCCAGTGGTCTCGCTCCCCAAGGGCTCTCACTTCTCTGCCCCAGCCCCACACTTGGAAGGGAAGTCTGGGAAATCGAGCCTGTGTCCTGTCAGTGCCCTATGGGTGAGCACTTCAAAGGCAGAAACGGACTCTGCGAACATTCAGACAACTTTTCAGCTATGTTAAGCACAAAGGACAGTTATTTCTGCTGGCATCTGACAGCATGTGAACTCTCACAAGTGACCGCCCCCTTCCACCCGAAGTCAGGCCATGGGCATGGGGCTCAGAGGCAGAGCGCCGGCCCAACATGCACAGGCCTGGGTTTGAGCCCCAGCCCCACAAAAAAAAACAACAGCAAAAAGACAAAGCTGTAACTGCCCACGCCGGGTCCGGCTGAAGCCATGCTGACCTGCACCGAAGAGTCTCCCATGATGAATTTGGCACCTTCGATCACGGCCAGGTAGGAGAAACGCAGCTGGTCGGCCGTCTGGATCAGCCCCATCCGGAACCTCCTCATCTCCAACAGCACTTTCTTGATGTCCACGGATGAAGGGTCTTTCCTCTTGTCCATCTGAAAGTTACACAGAAGACAACTCAGCCAGCGCCAACTCTCCAGTGCAAGGTGACTTCACACATTCAGTGGCAGGAGCGCAGGTTTTCTAGCTAGGAAAATCACAGAGGGGCAGGCAGAGAATTCTAGAAAATGTGGCAAAATCAGGCCCCTTTGGGCACGGGGTTGAAACAAGTTAGAAGACTCTGGCTACCTGGATTCCCCTTTGAAGTTGGGAGCAATCTATGAAAACAGCTGTTTGAGCAAGAACATTTTACCATGGAGAAGCTGTTAAAAAGCAAGGGCCAGGGCTCAGTGTGGGGACATGCAGGGAATTCCAGCACTCTAGGAGGCTGAGGAAGGAGGATCACAAGTTCGAGTACAGCCTGGGCAACTAGTAATTTTGCAAGATTGTCTCATAACAAAAAATTTTTTAAAAAAGGCAGGGGGAGGCCAAGAATGTAGCCCAGAGTGAAGGCTCTGGCTTCCACCCCCAGTACTGGGAAGAAAAAAAGCAAAGCTCAAAGCTCGTTGCTGCCCGAGGAGTGCATGTATGGCGATGATAACTGAAGAGCTGTGGCCAGGCAGGGGTGGGTTCAATGCATCCCGTTCTCTTCTGAGAGCCCGCAAAGGCCTCCTCACCAACAAGAGGCAGGTGTCCGCCAGGCAGAAGGTCCCCGACCTGCCGATGCCGGCACTGCAGTGCACCACAATAGGGCCGTGCTCCGGGCTGAGGGAGCCCGACTCACGAACTTTGAAAAGAAAGTTCAGGAATGAGGCTGGTGACTCTGGGACTCCGAAGTCAGGCCATGTGGTGTAGTGGAAGTGCAAGATCTCTCGAGTTTCTTGGGTCTGAAAGAGAAAAACACTTACGATGATGCTAAAAGAAGCACGGGTACAGAAAGCCTGAAATCCCAAGCGCACGACCCAGCTCTGCCCCCGTCTAGCACCCTCCAGAGCTCACCAGGAGTCACTCTGCAAGTCAGGCGTACAAGGGCTAACAAGCACTGGCAGAGCGCGCCGCCTCGCTATTCCTGACGCTCCCTGAGGGGCCACGGCAGGACTGTGGCTCCAGTACTACGCAGCCAGGTGGGCAGAAAGTGCTGGGAACACGCAGCCCTTGGTGTGCTTGGGAACCAGGAGCTTCAGCCTTTTTTGTCAGCAACCGGCACCCAGTCCTACCTCTTACTTCAACTGGTGACTGAGCAACAGGAGTCAGGAGGATGCTAAAGTAGGACACGCACACCGCTCAGATGCAGATCCAGCACTCAGCACAGCTCGGCGAAACCCACTCGAGTAGTCCTGCTCCTCCTTCCCTCCCCACTGTTACTGGACTGCTCCCCATGCAACATCATGTTGCTGCACCCAGGGTACTTGTGACCCCTGGCCACATGTGACCAGCTGAACCCCCTGGTTCAGACACACAGAGAGACACACAGAGACAGAGACACAGAAGTGGTGGTGTTCCTTGCCCTGAGCCTGGCAATCCAAAACGGTAGGCCAGGACTCAAGCCTGGCCAGTTTGGGTCTAGGAGCTGGTGGCTGGCCATCATGTTTGTTAGTGTCCCCTGGGGCTGCTTTGGGCCCCTTCCACCGTGCTCCTGTGGGACCCCAGGTACCCTGCTTACTTGGGGTGAGCTCTGCTCACCACGGTGCTGAAACCACATATACACAGGGTGTGAGAGAGGTATCATCCAAGAGAGGGGCCCCCGATGGCACCTACCCACGCACTTACTGTAGGGTTTTCCAGTTCTAGCTGTCGTACTGTGTAATACGACTTGATGTCTTCCGAGATCAATGTTAATTTCAAATTTGTGTCATCAAAGACCATCTCTCTTTTTTCTTTTTGTGGCCAGTACTGTGCACACTTTATCTAAGGGAAGAAATAACAATGGGTTATCGTTAGCAACCGTCTGCACTCCGTGAGCTTCAGGACTGCCGAAGCCCGGGGTTCCCTGAGTGTTGGGGGGCACATCAGCCCGGCGGGCTGCCTCTCAGGAGAAGGGGCTGGCTGGGAGGACAGCAGCTGCTCACTCAGGCTGCTGTCCCTTCCCGCCCGGCAGCTCCAGACTTCCCAACAGCAGCAGGGTGCCCCTGGGCTCTTGCCCACTGGCTACGAGAGAGGCTGCAGTGCAAGGAGGTTCTGCTTCCCACAAATGCCTTTATGTAGGAATTTCAACCATTAGCAAGAGCGGGTGGGGCTGCCAGCAAAGGCAGACACCTTGGCCCGGGAAGGCACCTGCAGGCAAGGAAAACAGGGCTGAACAGACCACAGGTAAGTAACTGAGGGCTGCCTGGAGGGGCCGGGCTCAGCCTTTCCTTTTGGCTTGGTTTACTTCATAAAAATACCTCTGATGCTGTCCTTTGATAATTTCAGAAACAGCTTAACAATCCTGATTTAAATGTAGGTCATTCAGGCTTTTTGAAAAGGAAGCACCCCGCCACCCTTAAAGCAAGCCCACAAAGCTCTGCTTGTGTTGCAAGTTTAAGGAACCGGACGCACACTTCGTGGCACACTTTGCCTGAGCTAGACCTTGTGTGGACGCTCCGGCTACCCCACTGGGGCAGATGGTGACGTGGGTGGAGGAAGCTGCTTCAGGTGAGGCCCAGCAGGGACAAGGTGGATGGTGGGAAGCTTTCGGGGGAAATGCACCTGTGCTGTGGGAATGCAGAGACTTCTTGGTTGGCCCAAGTTACAAGCAAGAGGTCAGAGGAGCGGTGAGGAGCAGTAGGGCCAGAGGGTGACCAGGATGGCCTGGACAGTGGCTGAGGATCCAGGCTCAGGGGAGTAGCAGGAGTACCGCCAACGCCGGCCCTGTGCCCAGGAACCTGCGGCACTATCTGGGGACAAAGGAGGAGCGAGGCACCTCTTGAGGGTGAAGCCAGGACCACAGACGCCCCTGGTCCTGCTCCACCATGGCTGGAAGTTACCCCCAGACAAAATTAAAGCAAACAGCAAAAAGTCAGAGAAATTAATGAAGAAATTCCTGGGGTGATGCCAGCGCAGCAGCGTACTTCCCAGTGCCAGGACAGACGCCAGCAGGGCTTGCTCAAGGGCCCAGACACCAGTCTGCTTGAAAGCCTGGCCAGCTCTACTGACGTCACTGCCCTGCGCTGACCGCGAGCCACCAGAGAGGAGCCTCTCGGATGGGGCCCACCTGTCATCGTGGAAGCAATGTCACCACTCAGGACACAGAAGTCTTAATTGTATGCTGAGGTCCCCTTGGAGCCAGAACACATGGGGCAGTCAAGAAGCAGGACCTCAGAAGAACTGGAAAGGATGCACCTGTCTCCACCCTTCTGATGGCTGGATTTTCCAATGCTTCGAGATTACAGAAGAAGAGCCTGACCTGCTGGGCTCGGGGCCCCCTGTGCTGAAGTGGGCGCCCACAGAGAGCAGGCAAAGAATGCAGCAAGGTGCAGAACGGCCGTCGCTGCACAGGAGGCGCTGGCGCTTCTTTTTTTTTTTTTTTAATTTTATTTATTTATTT